GTTCTGTTTGTGACGATATATATATATATATAGTCGTTGTGCTAGCCAAGGGTTTGTGAGGAGGCCGTTCATGAATGGTGCGAATTGAAGGACGAGAGCGAGTTCGTGGGGGGACAGGACAAGTATTATGCGTTGTGACTCCAAGAGTGCTGTGAAGAGCTGGAGGAGACTTGTGGGCTTTCAACACATAGTATAGGTAAGGCATGGTATCAGTGTGGGTATAACCCCAATGGTGATTCCATAGTGCATGGTGGTTGAGCACATCAGCRACGGATTCATGAGGACGAGTATAAGCGGGACTGTCCAAATCGGTAGAGAGGTGAAAAAAATACCAATTCTTGCAACAAATTGCCAAATTGTGGGATGATTTGTCCACAGGGACGATGGCAAAGTTGTGAAGGGCATAAGCATGAGCTTCATCAATAGCCCTTGCCACATTATTCAGAATGCGGTCATGAGGAAGATTGGTGTACATTGTGGTGAAATCAACCGTGCGAGGAGAGAGGCCACGTAGAGAGGACACATTGTTTTTCAGGTCAATCGCCACCTCATCGGCACTCTGGACGATCCAGCACTGTCGAACACCTTCCTGTTGATAGAGCTCAGTGTCTTTCTCACGAAGAGTAGAGATCACGCCTTGCAAAGCAGTGCTCAGACATGACGAAGTAGCCGTTGTGCTAGCCAAGGGTTTGTGAGGAGGCCATTCATGAATGGTGCGAATTGAAGGACGAGAGCGAGTGCGTGGGGGGACAGGACAAGTATTAGAGACAACATGGCCGTCCACAAGATTTGAACATGCGGAAAGGCCCTGCGACATTCGCAGTACAAGGAATCTGGTAAGGTCGTGTCAGGAGCAACACTCAATGCCACATCAGTAAAGTTGCAAAATAAGACATGTGTAGGTGGCATCAACTTGTCACATACACGAACATATGCGGTCGCTTGAGGGTCAGGGTGCAATGTAGCTACTTCGGGCAACTGCAACACATGGCGCAAGTTCGTGGCACAAACTACCTCGTGCACATGTACGACCTTAATATGGTCCGTAAATGGGTCACAAGGTTGTGCTGTGTAACGTTGGCAGGTATGCTGGGATTTTCGAATGAGGCATTCGAGTTCTCGAATGTCTGCTGTCATGTCCGCATTGGAAACATTGTTATAAAGTCATTGCAAAAGTCGTGCCCGCCACGCTGGTTGTGCCCGCTCAATGTCAGCCATGACACGACACCAGTTACCCGAAGCAGCTTCATTAAGAAGGCGATGGAGTGAGGTACGAATTACGAGTTGGGGACCTGGACGAAGATCAATAGCAAATGACNAGGCGATGGAGTGAGGTACGAATTACGAGTTGGGGACCTGGACGAAGATCAATAGCAAATGACGGAGGCGAAGGCGTTGGGAGGAGAGGTAAAGGTCGAGAGGGTGTTGGCAAAAGAGGTGCAACATGGGAGCCAACGGGTGTTGGCAAAAGGGGTGCAACATGGGAGCCAACGGGTGTTGGCAAAAGGGGTGATGTGTGAGGAGGATTAGCTGATGCAGGAATAGGTGGAGCAGGTGAGGGTTGAGCAAAAGGGGACTGAGGAACGAACGACTGAGGGCCCATTTGTGTCCATCGGGAAGGACATAAATGCCGCCGTGGAGATGGCAATCTAGCTATTGGAAGGACTGCATTGAAATCGACTGGGTGAAGCGTTCGAAGTTTTCGAACCCAAAAACCCTCGCGGGGTGCAGCAGCCCTCCGAAAGAGGCCATGATCAACAAGACCTCCAGACGTATGATACAGGGTAGGATCGATGCATTCTAGGGGCCAAGCCGCAAAGTTGAATGCTGGTTGCCCACTCATTGTGCGATGGAAATGGCGATGGTGAAAAACAGCAGAATAGTGTCGTGTATGCCAATGCTCTTGCAGCCTTTGGTGTGCAGAATGCATCGTCTGTCCAACATAAAAACGACCAGAAGGTAAATGAACAATTGCATAAATCACTCCTCGAACAGTGAGGGGGTCCATACCTGGTTGAAGAGGTTGTTGATCAACACCTCGCAATTGTAACTCAAACCGCTCGGCGTGTACAACATTGTTAAGATGACGGAGTTGTYTCTTGCGCCACCTTCCTGCAGAATACAAGTTAGTATTCCATTCCAAGTGTGCACGCCAATCTACACGATGAGAAACAGATGCCTGGTGGTTCGACATGTGAGCATAAGAAAGCGGGACAGCGTGACCTAAAGGAAAGCTTGGTATAGCACCTGCCATGCCAACGGCAGCAAATCTCCCGAGAGGGGTGGGAAGCATCGGGGGTTGTCATGGTCCATGCCATGATTGATATTACTGATTTCTTACTCTATGATGTTGTTCTCTTGCCACATCAAATTGTCCGCAATCTCCTTTATGTCGAAGATCATTCCTATGCCACCGCAGTGCAGCAGTACAATGTACACACACTATGTGACCTTCTTCTTTGTACAACCACAGACACAGTTGCACTTGGGTGTACTCGCCATCATCTTTGTCACAATCACTTCCATGAGATGGTTTCTGCATCCATGTGTGTACAGGATTGTCACTCCGTTCCTGACTGCAGGCACCCTCCTCATCCGGACACTATATGTCCATTTTGTGGCCACGGACGCTATGCTGAATGCATGCTCTTTTGTGGGGGGCGTTCTTCCTTTATTCTGGCCTGCAATAGACATGCTATTTGTGAGGAATGTATGGTTGGGATGCTTAATGCCAACCGTCGTGGCAGTTGTTGTTTTGAGAATGCTCAGTTAGGTCTTCCATGCGCTCATCCACCCCATCCTTACAATGTGTGTCCTTTTTGTCGTAAAGGACAACCTCATTCTTGAGCTTTTTCTTCCCCTTTCCTTTGCCCTCTTTCTCTTTCTACACTCCGTATTTTACTAGCTTCCCTTTTCCATTCTTTGTTTGTCCTCTCTCTGTCTCTTTTCCCTGTGTTTAACACCTTCCCCTTCACTCTGCCTCTCTCACAGCGTGCAAGTGGGCTGTTATGGCATACGGGGATGGGGGAAGCTCGCGCTCAACTTCATCAACATGGCGAGCCTTGCACGTGAGAGGCATGGTGAACTCAACTCCTTCATCGTTTCTTATCACAGATGCTGTTACAAAAGTTCTGCATGGTTGTTTGTCCTTTTTTTAGTTAGCTTGGTATTGTGACCATGCTCATTTTGTGTACAAGTGTTATGTACACTTTTTCCTTCAGTGCATGATGTGATTGTGATGGCGGTCACCGCAAGGGCACGGGTTGCACCCCTTTCCCGTGCAGTGGGTATAATAGTTACGGCCCGCCTAAGGTTGGCCAGACCCGGGAGGTTGCCTCCATGCCCACTCACCTCTTGTTCCCTGTTCTTTGGGATAATCCTTCTACGCTGGCTCATGCATGTGTCAGTTGCTTGGTGACATCTTTTTATGTAGACACTGTTGGTCTATCGGTGTAAGGCTCTTGGCATTGCTGCTGGTTGCACACTAATGCTAATTGCACACTCATCGGGAGACGCAGTTTCACATTTACACCAAGCTCCGTCTTTGACAATGTTGTTGATTGTGAACAACAAACAAAAAGGACGACGGCAGGAATCCCGACCTGAGCCGTCGGGCCTAAAGTCCTGTCACCTCATGCACCCACCTCCTTTCTTTGGATTGAAAAGTTGAAAAAAAAAAAAAAAAA